GGCCTCACAGAAAACCGACGTGAAGTAACGCTTGCGTTGTGTTTCGTCGTGTGAGTCAGGTTACCGGAGGCCCAATTACCCTCGCCTTCCCCAATCTCCTCAATCCCTGAATCCCAACGATCCTCAAACTCCTAATCCCCAAAAGGCCGGTAACGCACTTGTAACGCCTCTGGTGTTCCTGGTGTCCATGGGCGACGCCGATTGCTTACCATCAGGTGATCCGTCAGCTCGTTTAACGACTCATGCTGTAAAAAAAAACATCAAAATCGATTCAGCCAATCGCGAAATCATTGCGCACATACATATATACAGGCTCAACTGTGAAACTCCTTCTTGTTTGAAGTCGGTTAACCACCACTCAATAGACTTCAAAAAGTCTTACGCTAAAATAAAGTGTGTTCCAAAGTAGCTCTGTAAACTGAGTCGATAAAACAGTTGTCGTGTGAAAGTAGGTGACAGCCCGTAGACTTAGTGTCTAGAGTCTAGACTAAATATTTAGACTTAGTAATTAGGTTACGATTACATCACTAGCCCAGTTCAAATATTTACTATCGATCGAGGTGTTCATAATTTACTGATTGCCTTTATCAGTTTAATGGATGTAAAGTTTTTAGTAAGTTTGATATTATGGTCAGTTTTATTTTAGACGTTTCGCATTCGCTCTGTGGTAACGACTGAGTAAAATGCGTAATGAGTAAAATACGACTGATCCAATACGACTTTCAAGCCTTCAAGAAAAGAGCGTATTCCTTTTTAAAAGGCCGGCATCACATCTGTGACTTTTCTGGTGTTGCGGGTATCCATAGGTGGCGCTAATTGCTTACCATCAGGTGACCTGCCTATTCGTTTGCCTCCTATTCCAAAAAGAAGGTTCGTAATAATTGGCTAAAGGACAGTAGTACTCTCTGATAAACCTGATCCTTTCTAAACTATGATCTCTAGCCTATGCTATAATGAAGGTCCATAGCTCAGCAGTCCTGATTCAGCCACAAAAATCAAATAATATTATTACCCTTATTACCTACAGGAAAACTGAACGTTACACCTTTAAGGTGGGACTCAATAGCAGATGGGGCATATTAGTTATCCGATGGGGCACAGTAGGTATCAAATGGGGCCCAGTAGGTCCGATACGGAGTCGCGGAAGACTTAACGGGATACCGGGGCTCTGGTTCAAAGAGTAGGATCAGGAACAGGGTGGTTTTTAGTCAGTAAGAGTCTGACATTCTTTTGCTTCAGCCAACGTGAAAGAAGCTATTAACGATTTTACCCTTCAAAAAAAGACCTTGAAAACTTTTCCTCTATAATCTTTCAATTTGCACCAAGCATCTTTAAATGGCCGGCAATACGTTATACCATTTCTAAATGTACCACTAAAGTCATAAACAAAATATTCTCCACGTTCTAACATAATAAGAGGGACATTTACGAGCAAAACTACGAATATGTACTGACAATCCATAGTAATACCTTTAACTTTGAATTTATCTTTAATCCTATGGCATTAAGGTATGATTTTGTATAGCTGCTCTATTGACATACGATTATTTTCCATTGTAAAACTAGAACAGCATCTTTATAACATCCTCATGATGTTATAAAGATGTTGTTCTAGTTTTATTGAATTAGGGTGAATTTTAAGAGGACATTGACCTTCGCTTGTCTTGTTAGTACCTACATGATAGTGTATAATAGGGTAGTTTCCTAAATTGTATATTAATATCCGTTTGGTACATTAATTTAAACTTTAGACACGTATTTTTTCTTTTCTCACAAAATTAAATATTTTCGACAATATATTAATTTGAAATATTGTGTGATGTCACAGCGTGCCACATTTTGTAGCACGTTATGATGTAACGACCTCCCACTCCTAAACTTAGCGCCATTTTATCTAAGTATTGCAACTTAATATGAGTAAATAAAAAATACGTGTCTAATATTTTTTTCATTATCTAACTGGCGGACTAATTAGATTTTTAATTTTGATACCCTGGAAACTACCCAATTATAAGTTTCAGATTGAGATCTTAGTTTTTCTATAATGACTGAGTTGGGTTGACTGAGTCGCTATAAATTGAACACGTGTCAAGTTTCACCTTTATGTAACGAAAAGTTGCTTTCTTTACCTGCGACTAGAATCTAGAAATGTCCTATTATGAATAATATTGTGTTATTAGGAAAGGCATCCATTTTTTGATAATGAAAGATTTGAGGACGTGGATTTGGGGATTGATTTTTCCCTCTTTATTTAGTTGGAAAGTTCAAACCTTACTATTATTACTTGATAATAAATAATAAGTATTAAACATTCACATTACAACAAGTGCTGTTATCCTATCAAGACATGGTCATAATGTCAGAACTTCATTACGACAACAGGCCACCCCATAACGAGGTTAATGTCGTGATAATATCATTTATGACGCGGTTTCGCTCGTAAATAAGACATTAAGTACAAAATTGAAGTAATATTAGGCACTGTTATATTTATGGGGAAATAACATAAATCCCTGTGGATCATGGAGTATCTTAATTAGATGAATTATTGAAGTTCTAGAAGATTTTCTGATAAACTTCGTATTCAGGTATGTAAACAGTACACACACTACCATAAGGTTTTTTTTTAAAATAAACATTGCCCCACATTGGAATTTTCTCCTGTGTCGTGGGTACGTTTACAAACATACAAGTTCACATACACAATGACACCCGGATCCTGAACAACAATTTGTGGATCACACAAAGTATTGTTCCGTGCGGGAATCGAACCCTCGACTCGTTGCACGGCAGCCGGTTGCCCAGCCACCGCAACAACCATGCAGTCAATTGGTTGGCAAAAAAGGTTGGTGACGTAACTCCTCTGGTGTTGCGATTGTCCATGGGCATCGCCGTTCCTTACTATCAGGTAATCCGTCTGCACGTTTGCCGGCCTATATGCCATAAAAGACACATGGTTCAACTAGTGAAAGACTGATAGACACACACATAGATGAGCTCGCATTTTGTTACTATCCACGCTTTCTCATATTCCTTATCCAGATATACCATACACTGATAAACTACGGACCTACTTTTTGTTAGGAAAATTATCATATACTTTACCGCAAGTAAAGGCGTTTAAAGTAACTGTATTGATTGAGTTGAAATAAACGCTTTGACATTGACTTAAAAGGGTTTTCAGACTATATTTTTGGTTTTAAAATGCTCGTCACTTATATCCATTTTGGCTCACAGGAACTGCAGTGGTCATTAATGAGTGGCGAACTTGTACCAAGAAAGCCTTTACTAGTCTTATCACTACCTAGTAACACGGTCAAGGTGAAACAACACGATGACGTAACATCACAAAAACTGCATAAACTTTCATTTCAAAGTTTGACCTTGAGCAAAATTATTTCTAACGAATTTCACACAAGGGTATGACGCACACACCCGATTATGCCCCATACATTTTCCATGGGTTTTGTAGGTAGACCGGTAAACTGAAGGACGGTATTCTAAACTTGGAATATAAACGATGGGCCGACTAGAAAATCGATAAGACCCACCGATGCAGACATATAATAATTTGATGTCGAACTCTGAGGTAACGATGGCCATAAATCGATTATTTTCTAATTTATTTTACGAGAATCGATTTGTTGACGATTAGTTTTTTGATCGTGTATTCTGATTGATATCTATTAACTTATTTGTGGGTAATAAGCAGTTATTGTGTGTCATTTTAGGTTTAATAGACATGTACCTCTATTAACATTGTTATTTTCTTACTTGTTCTATTTTGAGGAACTTTGGGTTTAAGTAGTCCAACATAGATATACTATGGATTACGCTTCTATTATCAATGTTCAGAAACCTAAATATCTGACTGTGAGCTCTAATCAAGACTTTTGTATTAACCCCCAGGGGATGTGGAGAGCTAATAGCCAGCTTTGTGTAAAAAATGATATATTTTACTCTTATGTGGAATTCTAGATACTCAATACTCAGTGCAAATAATAAACTAGATGGAATTCAATTGACGTGAATGTCGTGGTCGCCCGGAGGTTTAAGACGCCCGCTTCTCATGAGTGAGGGTGCGGGCTCGAAATCTACCAACGGCAAGTACCAATGTGACTTTTTCTGACTTATATGTATATATGTACTTTTTAAGTTTATCTAGACACTACTGACAAACGGTGAAGGAAAACATCGAAGATGAGGAAACCTGGGCTTATAATTTCTAATTATAAGTTTGTAATCGCTAACCCACATTGGGCAAGCGTGGTGATTAATGCTCAAATTTTCTTCTTCGTGTGAGAAGAGGCTTTGCCCAGTAGTGGGCATTTATAGGCTGTTGATGAATTCAATTGACGATTTAGTCATTGTTTTAACTTAACCTAGGAAAATCAGAAGATATCAAACCTTATTATTGGGAATTGTAATTATAGACTAAATATTATAGACCTGTTACGTAACAACGGCAACGCACCTGTGACTCCTCTGGTATTTCGGGTGTCCATGAGCGACGCTGATCGCTTACCATCAGATACTGTATACCATGTTTACTCTTTTCTATTAAAAAATGCTACGACATTTAAGAATGTAGCATATCATCAACAGCCATTAAATTCCCACTCCTGAGCAAAGCCTCTTCTCATACAGAGAAGGTTTGAGCATTAATCACCACGCTTGCTCAATGCGGGTTGGCGATTTCAAACTTATATTTAGAAATTATAAGTCCAGGTTTCCTCACGATGTTTTCCTTCACCGTTTGTCAGTGGTGTCTAAATAATCTTTAGAAAATACATATAACTCGGGAAAAGTCACATTGGTACTTGCCGTTGGTAGGTTTCGAACCGGCACCCTCATTCATGAGAAACGGGCGTCTTAAACCTCCGGGCCACCAGTACACGACAAGAATGTAGCATATACACAAGTCAAATCCGCAAGTAATACTAAGTTTTACAAAAAGGTTCCTCTCAAAATTCCTCTCACTCTGAAGTCCTGAGGTAAAAATGCGAGGTGAGTTAGTACCGAGCAATCAAGATACCTCGTTACTAGGGAGATCACGTGCTAACAGTAATTGAGAGTGTTTTGGGATCATCACTGGCGTAAAACTGCCAAATTCTTTTACATTACTTAGTTATTTATTTTTCGGAACATGTTTTTTATATGTGAGTATGATTTTGACTGCCTCCTTGGCCGAATGATCGCAAGTGCGATTGCCGGACAAGAGGTCTCGGGTTCGATTCCCGGGTCGGGCGATTCTGGAATTGGAAGAATTGCAACGGAGTCTGAAATTGTGCCCGGTGTATAGCAATAAGCTCACCCCCTATTACATGGATCTCATAAAATGAATAGTGAAAAGTGAGTGTTAATCACAATATATTGTACAGTGGCATAATGTGCACCTCTGCCTACCCCTACGAGGATACATGGCGTAATGTTACGTTATGTTATATTGTTATTTAAAGTACATATTCTTACTTAGCAATATCTCCACCATGCATCTTATAGCTAGCTCTATCTATGTTAGAACTAGCTGAATGTAGCCTCATTTCAGTAATGGCTCTCTCGATGATATATACTCGCTCGTGTTTTAATTTATGCAGTACATTCTTGATTTATTTCTACTTCAATGAATTTAGTGTTCAATAATGTATTGCAGGGCGATGTTGTTGATTCATTGGTTTCAGTATAATATTTTTATCATGTCTAAAGGCTTACTTTAATAGTGAGTATAGAGCTAGATTTTGACTGGTAAAATTACTATGGACAGAAGAAATGAACGCCGGTAAACTTACACCGGAATTTTTGTGGACGCCTAGTATATCTTTATATATGTATATAATTCTTCTGTGAGTGTGTATGTCACTGAACTTCTCTCAAACGAATGGATCGATTTTGATGAAATTTTTTGTGTGTGTTGTTCTGGGAATGGTTTAGATTCACAAATCAGCCCGGCAGATGGCTCTGCAGTCGGTATCTAGGTTATTTATCTATACCTATTATTATATTGTATGCAGGACAACGTCTGTTTGGTCTGCTAGTTCTGTATATATATGTATTTTCTGTGTGCTTCCCCGTTATGGACGCATTCGCACATTTTGGTTAAAGTTGATCATATTATCTGTGACACCTTAACTTCACTTTTAAAATTACTTGACTTTACTGATTTTTCTAAGTATTTAAGCCGGTAGCTAGGTATTTTTTTTAAAAAGACTGCTTCAATCATGAGGTTTAGGCGGAACGTTTAGTCATATTTTTGTTTTTTTTTTAATCTAGGTGATCCGAAAGCGATCACCAGTGACCGCTTTCCACTAACTTCATTATAAACCTTATTTCCGATCATTAGAGGCTGCCTTTATATGAACAAATGTTGTGGACTTTTTCATAATCAGGGATTAAGAAGTTAACTTGTCCATAGATCTACAAGCGTCATTGAGTTTTAGTATTTTAAAACTATGTAATATATGGAAGCGTTATTTGTTTCCTCGCTTCCTATAAAATGGGATTCATAACATAAAAGTGGTTGTCAGGATATTATACGTGCCTAATATAAATAAACAAATAATGCCAATAAAACCTAAAATCTAAACTTCCATTACTTTATCAAACATTTTATTTCTCCAACTGTAATAATGTTGGAATTTAAACTCAAAACGCGGGTAGATAAAGTTGATTTATTATTTAATCTGTGGCAACACGGAAGCGCCGGCAGTCGTAAGTAGAGCAACTTTTTATATGAAACAAGATATAACACGCGTAGACTGGCTCTAATTCGCCAGTTTGAAAAAGGAATACGGTTATTTTTAAAATTTTGTTAAAATAGAAGGGGATTTAATTTTTGGCGAGGAGGTTTTGCTTGATGAGTTCTTTTTTTAAATGTAAATTATTTTTAACAACGTACCTATTTACTTTTTTGACTGCTTCGTTGACCGAGTGGTCGTAAGTGCGACTGCCGGGCAAGGGGTCTCGGGTTCGATTCCCGGGTCGGGCCAAGTATTACGGGGTTTTTGAATATTCTCAGTAGTAGCACGGAGTCTGAACTGCTCCCGGTATATGGCAATAGGCTCACCCCCTATTGCATGGGACTCATAACATAAATAGTGAAAAGGATATTATATTGTACAGTGGCATTAAGTGCCGTAATGCCTAACCCTGCGGAAATAAAAGGCGTGATGTTATACATAATACCATTTTCCCACAGTCACACAGGAGTAGCAACAGGGTCGTTTTTAGTCGTTAACAGTTTTACACTCCTTCTCGCCTCACTCATGGCGGGAAAAAATATTGAATGATAATATTCGCCCCTAAAAATAATAGTACCTACTTATCATAAATACTAACCTTACATTTTATGTCGAAAATATAATAACAGCACTCTTATAAACAAATAAAATATCTTGATTTGGCTCACGAGGTTGTCGACATGCGGAATGTGGATTCGGCTATCATTGTGCCGATAGTCGTGTCGGCCAATAGGTTAATCCATAATAGCAGACTAAAACAGACTTTTTTTTTTAAAAGAGTAACGAATGGAGTTTCTTGCTTGTTCTTCTCCACTCGAATCGACATTTTGGAACGAGCGCCTAGCTTCACTGAAGGACAGACTGACAGACTATTATTTATTTCATATTTGTTGACGTTTCAAAAGTACCAAATTATGCTTTAATTGAAATAAATGCTTTTGGGTTTGAGTTTGAGTTAGCATCAACTGTTTTTGTACCTTAGGAGGCTGGCGTTAGGTAGTTTGGTCAAGCGCTTGATACAGAAGGCAGTTCTCTTTGAAACGGCGCGCATCGTGAGGAGGTTTCTGTCTCTGGAGCCCTAACCACCGGTAGCTTGGACCGTGCTCCCACTACTGGTCGGCTCAAAGTGCTAGTATTTCAAAATGTATTTTTAGACATAATAACTTTTCAAAAATTTTAATTTATATAATATTATTTATTTGTTACAGAAAGTTCATCCCGCTACATATAATTGAAGAGGATAGTTACGAAAAGGACGTCCTGTTTTATGTCAACCTCGGCGACCCGGAGCTGCTTGGGGGTAAGACATATTTTTTGTACTTCTTATAGGACACAATGCCTTTTGTACATAATGGATTAAGAACTTTAACTGTGTGGGATAAGGATCTAAATTTATTGTTGGTGTTTTGCTGTTATCATTTTAACGCCAGTCAGAAATGAAGTCTTGAAATGAAAATTTATTTCTGAACTTAGCGAATGATAGCAGATTTTACAAAACTTGAGAGATTCAGAGCCATTATGTACAAAAGATTCTTTACAATTTACATTATAAATATTAAGTAAGATAGATTTTTTTTTGTTTTTTCAAATCTATACAAACGTTCTTTGATTTTTTTAAGGTTGTAGTAAACCAGTTATTATAGACTAGATATTTGATCTTATCGATCTTTTTTAAACTATAATATAGCATGCTATGCATGTTTCAAAATTTTTATGGAATGATATATTTTTATTATATTAGCATGTAAAATAATTATCAGTATTTTCTATATGCATGATGTACAAAAATAGATAGTCTTGCATATGACTATATTTTTTATATTATAATTCCACTACTGGATGTAAATTAATGTAAATATTAATATTTTTTAGACGTTAATGTAAAAAACTTGACAATAGTTTAGATTTAGGATTTATACTAACAATTTTTGAATTATATTGATCATATTTCGACTTTATGTCAGCAGTAGAAGTATTTTTAAAGCATATATTTTCTTTAGTATCACGATACCATAAATGTCAACGTTTTATAGCTTTGTATATAAAAATAATGTCCATAATGCAGAAAACGCAGTTACATAAAAATATTAAGTGCGAAATATGATTAAAAACATTCAGCAAATATAATTACAGCAATTATTTTTAACTTTTGTCTCATGACCTGTGAACCTGTGACTCATGTGAGTATCCCTCGATTTTAGTTAGTTTAGTATGTCTCACGATAGTTATTATAATACCAGGTCACATTAAGTACATCAATAAAATATACACGAAAAATACTATAAACACTGAAAAAAAAAACCACTTCAATAAAAATGTTCACACGCATTCAATTGAATTTAACGGAGGCTTTTATTTGTTTCAACTTGCGTAATTGTTTCAATATATACCTTTTATAAAAGTAAAATTGATCGTAAATGTATGTACATACTATACAGATATGTTCACACATTCATTTCTTAAGCCTTTAACTGCTGATAAAAACTGTTAAAGGTTAATCCTCCGCTAGACATCATTGTCCGATACGGCATCCAATATATATGTATATATATTTCCTTTATACATTATTAGCTGTTGCCCGCAACTATGTCCGCTTAGAATATGATTCCTGTTTTATCCCATGGGATTATTTAATCGGGATAAAAAGTATCCTATAACCTAAGTCAGATTATATCCTGCCTGATGAAATTTGGTCAGTAGCTTCAGCGTGATTGACGGATACATATCCAAACATACAAACATACACATTCTACATTTATAATATTAATGTGATGATATACACAAAATATAAGGAACTACACATTTTATAGAGATTAGGCGACTGTAACGTGTTCTCTGACAAATCTGAAATTTTTAAACTATGTATTTTATTTTAAAAGACTTCATGCACACATTAATGTACAAGGTGGGCTTAATGCCTAGGGCATTCTCCTCCAGCCAGACCTTTGGGTGATGCAGAGACAAAAACAATGGTCGATGCAAGAAGCAAGCGTATTTAAAACTCAACAGAAATGCATAAAAAAAGGATAGTATAGACTTACATAAAATAAATCCCTATATAAACTTACATGTATATGACATAACAATAAACTTACACAATTATATTACATATACTACTTAGACGTAGTGTGTATTGTAACTTTCGTGAGACATACTAAATAAATTATTATCTTTTCGGCTTACTCACGTAGGTAATAATTTGACGAGGAACTCGACTAGTTTCAAGCCATGCTAGGGGCTCATATTCAAATTTGAGTTCCTCTATGACCATAGAGGAACTCAAATTTGAATATGAGCCTCTAATTCACCATGAATCAATAGTACACAATCACAGGCTGTTTATGTTGTTACACATTGTATATTATTTAAGTCTAACCATATAAATATTTTGTCTGAATTATATTGCTGTATGTTTTTCTAGTGTAATATATTTTAGATGAAAGATGGAGAACCTTTAACGACAAAGCCATTTGAATTAAGTTTGCATATGGTTACTGATAACAAACGATCAAAATATGTATTATAAATAACATAAGTATTCAACTAAGGTATTCAAGGATCATGTTATTTCTACTTTTGATTTCATCGTTTAAATTACAACCTAAAGCGCTAGTTTATATGGTTCATTTTTCTTCACATGTAAATATTGGCATTTATATTTAGGTACCACAAAGAATAATTTAATTTTTGTTTAAAGTTTTTTTTCATATAAAAAAGTCATAAATCTATTCCATTTCTATATGAAATCCAACACTTCTTATGCTCGTATAAGGTTCTCCATCTACCATAGAAAATAGTGGCCATCGCTTAAATAGCCCTTTTGTTTGTGCATGATTAACCCTAAATCTGCAGAGGTGTTCGAAACATTCCTACCAGACGCATCAGCCTCCGTGGCGGTACAGTTCTCACCCGGTAAGTTATATCCACGCAATTTGTGTAATGGACGCAGCGTTAGCAAAATGATGAAGTAATATTTTTTTCAATTGCTGATTCCCTTGAGATGTCTGTGTTAAATTGTGTAGTTGTTTGATTGGTTTCTTTCTAATGTTTTGCGTAGAGTATCCAATCCTTTTTGTATTTAAAACAAATACGACTCATCAAGTATATAAAAAAAAAACTTCATAGACTTCTTTAAACTTAACTTCTTAAAATTTGAATAATTATGCCACGTATGCCACATAGATCTAAGAAGATCTCAAGAAATCAATTTCTTCTGAAGATTCTAAAAGAGAAATTTAAGTTGTTTCAAGCCAACGACATTGTGATATCAACCCTAAACACATTCCTTTGAACAGCTTTGCTTTTTTGATGAAAAAAGTTACCTCCCCAAATTGTAGTGAGTGCAATGAAACTGAAGATGTGTATCATATCGTAGCACGATGTGTCAGGAATGAGCCTGAAAGAGTCGCACTGAACATAGAACACAATGTCAGTCTTAGTGAGTTCGGTAAATGTAACGTAGTCCTTAGTAATCCATCATCAAAGATAGCTAAAAAAGTGTATAGAATAGTTAATTTAGCTATTAAGCGTAGATTATAAGTTAGTAAGTCTATCCTCATGATGGTGACATTGTCAATTTTGATAAAACCCTTCATAATTAAAATAAAGAAAAAAAAAACCAACCCTAAACTCTATCAATGTCGAGGAGACCCTAACGAGTTACCGGGGCTCAAAGTGCAGGAGTAGGAACGAAGTGGTTTTTAGTGAGTAAGAGTCTGACACTCCCTCCCGCCTCACCCAGGCGGGACAAGCCATTCGATGATTTCCCCGCTTAAAAAATCCCTATCAATATTTTCCCATAACACCTCCAGAAATCTTGTCCTAAATCCGCAAACACCATGAAAAGCTTTCACATAAAACATCTTACCAACACGACAAACACATAAACGAGTAACGTCAAAAAATCACGCCCATCCCAAGAGATTTCATTTCCAAATCCAGAATAATCCCGCCTTTCAAATTCACGCCAGATCTGTCACTCAATTCTTATTATATCCCCAACAATTACTTAGATACTCCAATTCTCGGGAATCCGTAATTTATTAAATGCCGTCTTTCGGGAATTGTATACAGTACAATAAGTGTCGTTGGAAATGTCTACAGTATACAAAATATTAATTGTTGAATGAAGCTATTTATTAATAAAGCTGGCGTTGCGTCCATTACAGTTTGTCACTAAAATGGATTGATGTGTTGTCCATTCAGTTTGAGTAATATTGTCAGTCACTGGCTCTGTGATCGTCTGACCTAGATTGTGGAGTTTCTTATTAAGGCTAGATTTAAGTGTAAGCTACTTTATTTTCTTCGTTTAAACTCAGGAAGGTAATTTTTGTGATTGTAACTGTTTTTAGGTTCAGAAAAGAGATTATGGCGTTCAATTGTTTATTTGCAATTCTTTTGTTAAGTATCAAGTGTCGTGGTGGCCCGGAGGTTTAAGGCGCCCGCTTATATGCTTGAGTGTGCGAGTTCGAAATCTACCATCGGCAAATACCAATGTGACTTTTTCCGAGTTACATGTACTTTCTAAGATTATTTAGACACCACTGACAAACGGTGAAGGAAAACATCATGAAGAAACCTGGGCTAATAATTTTTAATGAATTGAGCAAGCGTGGTGATTAATGCTCAAACCTTCTCCATGTGAGAAGAGGCTTTGCTCAGCAGTGGGCATTTATAGGCTGTTAATGTATATGTGTAATTTTTTTGTTTGATACCACTGAGAGATACGTTATAATAAAATGATAACTATTATTATTCAACTTTGGAAAGTAGTATAAAAAAAATGCTTGAATTGGACTAGTTGGTCATAAAAGTTAACATTCTGTAGATTTTTATGAAAAACTACAAGTTATCATACCTGTATAATGGATAACTGAATTCAATTTTAACTGTTACTATTATACGGTTCATTTTTGAATACATTTTGTATTTTGAATCCGTATATGTATTGCGTATTGTTTTCGTGGCAATATAACTTTTAATTGTAAAATATAATATCAATACAAAATTCACTGAAACACACAATTTCAATAGTGAAAGAGACTCTGCTTTTATTATGTAAAAATGGATACAGTATGATACTAACAAATGTCCTGATATGAATAAAAATCTATTGCGGTAAAATAGTTTTATTTTATATAACAACGATAAAGAACACCATTTTATTTGTTGACAATGGTAGGAAGACAGGTAATGGCATCTAGTCTATACTAATATAATAAAGAGGAAAGATTTGTATTTTTGTATTTTTGTATGTTTGTAATGAATAAACTCAAAAACTACTGAACCGATTGCAATAATTTTTTCACCATTCGAAAGCTGCATTATTCAGAAGTAACATAGGCTATATAATATCACGCTAGGTCCTATAGTTGTGGAGCAGTAACCAAAAATGTTTTAAAAACGGAGGAAAAGTATCGTTTCTGAGGCCTTCCGTGGCGTGCGCTGAGCATATAGTTAAAGTTATACAAAAATGTTCTATAGATGAATTGTTTATCTTAACATTATTTTTAAAAAAGTCCGCGAGAGCATATGTCTACCTTTTATAGTTTACCCATAACAATCGTTTTAATGAATGGTTCAATCGTTATAAAAGTTTGCTCTAGATAACTTTTGAATTGTTCAATCGGTTACCTTAAGACGCGACATCGACAACGGAGGGCAGGTCGCTAAAAAAAAACTGAGAATAAATATAAATAAAACGTAAAACTATGTAAAAAATCTTAAGTCCCCCCGTGCGAAGCCGGGACGGGCCGCTAGTGGTATATATTTAGACGGTCAACCGTAACTTACCTGCAGATACAGAGATATTATAAGTACATTGCGGACCACGTAAGAATCTTTTTAAATATTATTGTACCGTCGGTTTTAGTGGAGCGCTCTCTCAAAGATGATGCTATCCCGAAAATAACATATAGCTCAGAATAAAATAAATAATAATATTATGATTGCTTAATGATCCGAGTTTTTGATCCGCACTTGGCACAATCAGATTTTAATGTTATTCTGTATCGTTAAACAATTTATTTATATTATTTTCTACAAATTGAAAGTGGCTTATTTTATTGTAGACTATTGTACATATTTTCCAGGTCGTTAATTTTATGTATATATCCAGATAGTTGAACAATTTTGTGTGTAATTGAATATGTGAATATTGGTTAGCTATTTGAGATAGACTATTGAATAAATTAAACTAAATGAAATGACACTAGGCTTAACATTTAAATATTAAATTGGAACTTAAAAGTAACTTCTGTCTTTCCCCAAATGTACCAACAGATACTGAATAAAATAACCCTTTTCTTCACAAAAGCCTACATAACTTACTTCTTCACTTACACAATATTTTAGCATACAATTGACATTAAAATATTCTTCAAAGTGTCTTTAATATACGACGCATATATATATATATATATTTTTAAACGTTGCCCCACATTTGGATTTTCTCCTGTGTCGTGTGTGCATTTACAAACATACAAGTTCACATACACATGACGCCCAGACCCGGAACAACAATTTGCAGATCACATAAAGAGTTGTTCCGTGCGGGAATCGAACCCGCAACACGTTGCGCGGCAGCAGGTTGCCCAGCCACCGCATTAACCGTGTAGGCATATAGAAACAATTAAACGCCAAATATCTCAATTCTGACATATTACTACTCTTGCTTCATCCACATTCATCTATCACTTCATCCACGCTCATCTACTTCGACATCCAAGCTCATCTGTTGTTGGGGCTTTCAATTGTCTGTATTTTTGTCTGTGTTTTTTCTAGGTAATGTAAAGGTAAGTTGTCTGTTTGTGATTTTGTAATTATAAAAAGATTTCATTGTTTTTGCTGCTTGTAAATATTTGTAGATTATCAATTCTGTATATACTTGTATATGTAATTGTTTATAAATGTAGTAAATGTGGTTTGCATGATATTATTATGTGTGACATACTTGTGTATATTATGTAGTGTATCCTCTATGTAATAGGTACCTAAATGACTTCATTTGAAGACTCTTTGTGCTTACTTTATATATGACAAACAAACTAAACAATTCTTTAACCTGTGAATGTAGATCTACGCGAGATACAATATTTTTTCTATTGTATCTCATATATATATCGACAGACAAGAGGTTAATGTACCACGTATAAATGGAAAATCGTAGTAATAGTTATATACATGAAGGTTTTTTTTTTATTCGTGAAAATCATACGATGACTTCTCCCGTCTTGAGTTAGGCGAGAGGGAGTGTCAGTCTCTTAGTGACTAAAAACCACCCCGTTCTTACTCCTGCACTTCGAGCCGGAGCCGCGAAGTCTTCCGCGGTTCCGTAATGGAGCATGGTCCTAGCAACCTATTCACTCGGGTCGTAGAATTATGCCAGTTAGGACTCCATTTTTCCATCTACACTACGTAGCTTACAAAGTGTTAAATCAGCTGTAAGTAACAATGCCTAGTTGGTCCATTGATTAATTTAGAACTCGCATATTAAATTAGGTCCTTTTGGATACCATCAATAGGTTTAATCATTTGTAATGGGATAGGATTGTTGGCTTTTTATGCGGTTTTGGTTTATGTTTTGTGGAGCATTTGTGGGGTAGAATGCTTTTTTATATGTTGTTAGCGGGCATGGTGTTTGAGCTAAGCATACTATTTCTGCAAGGTGGGTGTGATATGAGAGTTTTATGAAATAATTAGTTGGATGTAGATAATTTCTTATACTGTATTCTGTGAAGTGTAGACAATTTTATTATCATATTTGAGAACAATTTAAGAATGAGAAGAAATGTAGTTTTAAAAAAGGTATTATGACCTCTTTAGCTCCCATAAAAATATTTTTCAAAATATACTGAAATACACCGTAAGTGCTTGTATTTAAAACTGCTTATATTAGTTATATCCTGTTTAAG